TTTTTGGGGATTTTTTTGGGAATATTTGGGGATTTTTTGGGGGGGGGAATTTTGGGGAATTTTTGGGGTCATTCCAGGGAAATTTGGCTCCGTTTTTGGGGGAATTTTTACCCGTTCTGGGACCATATTTTGCTCCAGTTTTTAGGGATTTTTTTTCCCAAATTTTGTACCAAATTTTTAACCATTCTTCCCCCAGTTTTTCCCCATTTTTTTCCCAAATTTCCCCCATTTTTTACCAATTTTTTTCCCAATTTTCCCCCAAATTTTTCTCAAAATTTTCTCCCATTTTTTCCCCAGTTTTCCTCCAATTTCTCCCATTTTTTCCCCAATTTTTCCCCAATTTTTCCCATTTTTTCCCCAATTTTTCCCCAATTTTTCCCCTTTTTTCCCCAATTTTTCCCCATTTTTTCCCCAATTTTTCCCCAATTTTTCCCCATTTTTTCCCCAATTTTTCCCCAATTTTTCCCCAATTTTTCCCCAAATTTTTCCTCATTTTTTCCCCCAGTTTTCCCCATTTTTTTCCCCAATTTTTTCCCCACTTTTTCCTCATTTTTTCTCCCAATTTTCCCCAATTTTTCCCCAAATTTTCCCCCCTTTTTTCCTCATTTCCCCCCAATTTTTCCCCCAAATTTTTCCCATTTTTTTCCCTATTTTTACCAAATTTTTCCTCATTTTCCCCCCAATTTTTTCCCCATTTTTCCTCATTTTTACCCCAATTTTCCCCCAATTTTCCCCCTTTTTTTTTCTCAATTTTTTCTCATTTTTTCTTCCAATTTTCCCCAATTTTTCCCCAATTTTTCCTCATTTTTTCCCCAATTTTTCCTCATTTTTTCCCCAATTTTCCCCCAATTTTTTCCCCAATTTTTCCTCATTTTTTCTCCCAATTTTCCCCAATTTTTCCCCAATTTTTCCCCAAATTTTCCCCAAATTTTCCCTCATATTTTCCCCAATTTTTTCCCCATTTTTCCTTATTTTTTCCCCAATTTTTCCTCATTTTTTCCCCAATTTTTCCCCAATTTTTCCCCAATTTTTCCCCAAATTTTTCCTCATTTTTTCTCCCAGTTTTCCCCAATTTTTCCCCAATTTTTCCCAATTTTTCCTCATTTTTTCTCCCAATTTTCCC